TGTGTGTGTGTGTGTGTGTGTGTGTGTGTGTGTGTGTGTGTGTGTGGGATTATGCCTGTTCAGACATGTTCTAAAAGAGCTCATCAGACCTCTGCTGTTGTTTTTGCACACAGGTTTTGATTGGGACTCAGCTGCCTCACCCCTTTGGCTTAACTGTACATGAGGACAAGCTGTACTGGACAGACTGGCAATCCAAGAGCATTCAAAGCGCTGACAAGCTCACCGGGTTGGGGCGTCACACACTGGCTGAAAACCTAGAGAATCTAATGGACATCCATATGTTCCATCGACACCGTGAGACAGGTGTGTGTCTGTCCACTAAAGCATAGAGTTTTGTGTGTGTGAAGGAGAATTGGACTTGCAGCTTTAAACAGATATTTACAACCACAGTGTTGAATACTGTTAAACCTCTAGCTCAAGGGCGTAGATTTGGTTTTGGCATTGCTGGGGACGGATGATTCAACCACCAAACCCTGCCGTTTCTTTTTTTTTTTTTTTTTCCTTTTTGTCTTTGCTTCTTGATTAAAAAAAGGGAGAAATATACTTGCCTACATATGCTATTCTACATGCTCTTAAGCCATTTAAAATTACAATTCATAGTTTTATATGTGAATTATATAATGTTAAATTACTATTAAACAAATGACTGACTAAAGTATTTTAGGCTTTAGTTTACTTCCATATTCCATATAAATCAGGTATCATACAAAAATAAAAATAGCTTCAAATACAGTCATGACAATAAAAGAATATGACTTTAAGGACAACATTACTTCAGTTATAGTACACCAACATCTCTAACACATTAGCTCTAAGGTAACACTGGATGACCTGGTGGTTTTTGTCCATAAAGCTACTCGTCTAAGATTACCACAAAGTAACAGATCTCTCAGCAAAATTATCCAACATTTTAGCCACACTATTGCCCCGATCAAATCAGTGAGCTGGGATTGTTTATTCTAAACATGGACTACTGTTACAGCAACAGACATGGACATGGACTACTGGTGACCCACACAACAACTCAGTGTCCACTATGTGAAGGAGCTGAACACATGCCTTCTCCTCTCGTTAACTGAGATAAACTGCTGGCCTATTTGTTTTACATCTATACTGTCCAGTCTCTCCTGGTGGAAATGGCATACAGCAGCATTGTTTAATCTCATTTGAGTCATTGTTGACCTTAGCCATCTTTTTAATCTTCTGAGATCACTGAAGTATCTTTCATCCTAAGTACATGCGTTTTATCCTCAGACTAAAATTATTACTATGTGCTTGATGTGCGTCACCTTTGGCCCTGGCTTTTCCCCTCTGACTGCACTAGGACATATTGCTACCTGATAAAATAACACATGGATTCGTGCCATATAAAAAGTGAGACATGTCAATTCAGATTCTTTGTCAAATATACACTAATGAATCAATTGACATCAGCAGCCTAACAATTGTTATGATGATAAATACTAGTTAATCTATAGCACCAAATCATCAGTAAGTCACCTGTGACCTCGCCTCGTCACCTCTGTCCGAGCTACAACATGGCAGAGCTGCCTCTACGTTATTCAAAGCCTAGCATAGCCTGTAACGTTATTATGACGGACACATTTTATGAGTGAACTTGAATTTAAGTGACTTACAGGTTTCTTTGAAAAATACTTTCTTATATCCAGGTTCTTTTTGCTGCCATCCTCCTCTCCTCCTTGCAGGTCCTCGCAGCGCAGGCTTGCCGCTGCTAAAACTAAACAAAACCCTGAAAGGCACAGCCAATCACATTGGCCATATTTGTCACATGATATAGGACTCTAGTAGAGTACGTAATTTAACTCTTTCTGCACCGCTGGGTGAATGAGACGGTGACAGATCGTTTTTTTCTTTCTATCGGGTTTGTTTTTCTTTACTCGAAGAGATCAAATTATTGGTGGGGACAATTTAATAATCGCTGGATATTGGTGGGGACATGTCCCTTCCGTCCATGCCAAATCTACGCCCCTGCTGTAGCTTTTTTTTTTTTTTTGGCTGCTCTAGCTAATTGATGGAATTTGTAGGAAGCCAAATGGGACTGCAGGGTGCCGACTTGTGAGCCAGCCTTGTTCTTTTAGCGTTAGCTAAAGCAGCCAAAGTGCAAAGCAGGGCGAGCCAGTCAGATGTCAAAAGCCACATCACGTTTTTCAAGTGTAAATCATCTTTTCATTATAAAGGCACAAAGGTATAAAGGCTGCAGTGTGTACACAGCAAAAATACAAATAAAAATATGTATCTTACACAAAGGAAGCTCTTCTCTCTGATGTGTGCTGGCCTTTCTCTGAGCTCACATCCAATATATCTACTGGCACTAGGGAATTACAGGTAAACTGAACCCAGATCATTGGCTGAGAGAACAGAGCCTGTGAAGCCTGTCTGATCTCGGTGATGTATTTGGCTCTGTTGGGTGGCTAGAAGGGTTTTTCTGTTTGTTTCCCCAATGTTGTTGTGGGTTTCTCCCCCCCACCCCACCCCCCCACCCCACAAATTCTTTCATGCATCTCCCATTCATTGCTTTCAAGCTGACTTAGAAAGTAGGACAGGAAGTGACCCGAGTCTGTTTGCCTCTCCACCTATAGTGCATAACCCGTGTGCGGTGAATAATGGAGGCTGCAGCCACCTCTGTCTCCTGGCGCCTGCTCCCAAAGCCTCCAGCTGTGCCTGCCCCACTGGCATCAACCTGCAGACGGATGGAAAGACCTGCACACCTGGTATAAAACAAACTCTGTTTACATCTCAGTAACATTTAGTAAAAAACAAAACAAAAAAAAGAACGGCACTTCACAGTTTAAAAGTTTAACATGTACAAGCGTGTGTTAAGATCTTACAATGTGTTCTGTCTGAAACAAATGCTTTAAACAACATGTCCATCTCAAAGGGAAATCCGATAAGGAAAATCAATTTTTAAAGGACCGAGAAGATAAAAGTATGTCAGCCGCTTTTTGTGTTGCGACAGGAAGACGCTGTGATGTGTGATCCTTTTGTGTGCAGGCATGAGCAGCTTCCTGATATTTGCACGTAGGACTGACATCAGGATGGTTTCTCTGGACATCCCCTACTATGCTGATGTGGTTTTGGCCATCAATAGCACCATGAAAAATACTATTGCCATTGGTGTTGACCCCAAAGAAGGTTTGTATGTCTTCTTAATTTTTTTTGTTTCATAAATATAACCGATGTAGGAATAAAGTCCTCAGCTGTGTGTATGTGTTTGCATGTGTGGCACCTCATGCAGGAAAAGTCTACTGGTCTGACAGTACGCTGAAGAAAATCAGCAGAGCCAACATCAATGGGATATCACACGAAGACATCATATCTACAGGTGAAGGATGGCTTACATGTATAAAGTCTTGTGACTCCGCCTCGTCAGAGTGTCATGACTTCATCTCTCACTGTCTCACTGTAGGGCTGATGACGACTGATGGTTTAGCAGTGGATGCTGTTGGCAGGAAGATCTACTGGACGGATACAGGTACCAACCGCATCGAGGTAGCCAACCTGGACGGCTCCATGAGGAAGGTTTTGGTCTGGCAAAATCTTGACAGCCCTCGAGCAATCGCCCTCTACCACGAGATGGGGTGAGCCTGATAGTTTGACGGCCTTGTATAGTCAATTAAAGCAAATCTCTGGTTGTTCTATGTTACTTCATCTTCTGTGTTCTCTTTATCTTCCCGTCCTCCAGATATATGTACTGGACAGACTGGGGAGAGCATGCTAAGCTTGAGCGCTCAGCGATGGATGGCTCAGACCGTGTGGTGCTCATCAGTAACAACTTGGGCTGGCCTAATGGCCTGGCCATTGATATGGCTGGCTCTCAATTACTGTGGGCTGATGCACACACTGAGGTGATTAAATGCTTCCAAGAATAAAACAAAGTGGATACAAGTCACAGTTAAAGATTTAAAAGCTAATAATGCTGTTTTCTAAGATGTAAAAGCTTTGAGCATGAAAGCGTCAGATGTTATGAAGTCATGGTGGTGATCCCACATGTGATACTGGTCCTCTGCAGCGCATTGAAGCGTCTGACCTCAATGGGCAGAACCGCCGCACCCTTGTGACTCCAGTCCAACACCCATATGGTTTAACCCTGCTGGGGTCCCACATCTACTGGACCGACTGGCAGAGCCGAAGCATCCAGCGAGCCGACAAGAACTCCGGGGCCAACACCATCACAGTGCGAGCCAACCTGCCAGGCCTGATGGACATCCAGGCTGTAGACAGGGAGAAGCCACTCGGTGAGTCTGGAGGACGGGAAGTGGAGGTCACATTAAAGATCTTTATTATTCCTTGACTTCTGACTTTTTGAATTTTTCCCAACTCACATGGTGATTGAACAATGTCAACATACAAAGTGTGCATGTGCGTCTTCCTGTTTTAAGTGCGCTCCTGTCTCTTTGCACTAATTCGTCACCCTGTGTTCTTTTAAGGCTTTAATAAGTGCGGGAGAAGGAACGGAGGTTGCACACACCTGTGCCTTCCTCGTCCCAACGGCACTTCCTGCGCCTGTCCCACTGGGATTCTGCTCAAGGGAGATGGTAGGTCATGTGACGATTCCCCGGAGACATACCTGCTCTTCTCCAACCGCGTGAGCGTGCGCAGAATCTCTCTGGACACCAATGACCACACTGACATACACGTCCCGGTGCTCGAGCTGCACAACGTCATCTCATTAGACTATGACAGCGTTGATGGGAAACTTTACTACACCGATGTCACCCTGGATGTTATAAGGTGCAAATGCTAATTTTTGAGATATTAATTTTGTAAAGCACACATTTTGAATAAAGTTCGCCACTGTGCCACTGGTTGTGCACAATAAAGTTGAAGTAGCCCCTTATCATACAACGTCCAACATTAACTTGTTTTTCAGGCGCGCTAACCTGGATGGCAGTGGCATGGAGACGGTGATCAGCCAGGGCCTGAAGACTACAGATGGACTCGCTGTGGACTGGGTTGCCAGAAACATGTACTGGACCGACACCGGGCGCAACACCATTGAGGTGGCCCGCCTGGATGGAACTAGCCGCAAAGTCCTAGTCAACAACAGCTTGGATGAACCCCGAGCTATTGCAGTGTTTCCAAGCAAAGGGTAAGAGAGAGGAGTGCACTGGGCTTCACTGACAAACAAAAGGTTATGTTTGGTCTCCGTAGCTCTTAAAGTCAGAAATAGACTGCACTTAAATAGGCAGACAAACAGGCTGACTGTCAGCACGAGGTTTTCATTGTTGTACACTGAAGAATCACATAGTTGCGGAATTGTTTGTACCATAGAAAGACATGAGCTTATCAGGCTCACCTCGCCTCTGCAGGTTTCTGTTCTGGACTGACTGGGGCCACATCGCGAAGATTGAGCGATCTCACCTGGACGGCTCAGACCGGAAGGTTCTGATCAATACAGACCTGGGTTGGCCCAACGGCCTAACACTAGACTACGACACACGAAGGTTAGCTGAAGCATGACTGAGATATCTGTATGTCCTGTAAATGACTTTAAAGTTTATTATTGTGTAAGAATTCTGCAATAACTGGTAATGAATCCTGCAGGATCTTCTGGGTAGATGCCCACTTGGACAGAATCGAGAGTTCTGACCTGAATGGGAAGCTGCGTCAGGTCCTCATCAGCCCGGTGTCCCACCCGTTCGCCCTCACACAGGTACCCCCCGCCCCCCCCCCCTCCTCTTCACCCTCAGCTGTCATATGCTAGGCTGACCCTTTTCTTCCCTGGCTGCCTTCTCCAATCACCCGCTCTTTCACTCATGAGCTCACCGTGTGATTCTCTCCATCTTTCAGCTCATACTGAACCCATTCGACGTAACCATTTCTTCTACTTCGCTTTCACTCTGACCCTCATTTTTCTTCTTCCCCCCTTCCCTTTCTTCCTCTCGCCCCCTTCTCCTTGTCCGTGTATTTTTCCTCCCCCTCTCTTCTTCTCCCTCGTTTCCCCAGTCGAAGCCGGTGTCCTCCCCTCTAACTCCTTTCTCCCGACTCTCGCAGCAAGACCGCTGGATCTACTGGACGGACTGGCAGACTAAGTCCATCCAGCGGGTGGACAAACACACCGGCCGTAACAAGGAAACCGTGCTGGCCAACGTGGAAGGCCTCATGGACATTATAGTGGTATCTCCTAACAGACAGACAGGTAAGGAGGCTTTTTCTCCTGACAACTCCATCTGACGGGGAAGAGGCCAAAGGTGTCTCTGTTTATTACCTTTTGCTGAAGGAGCCAAAGCTACTGTGGATTTATGAAATATTGTCAGTGCTAGATAATTGGTCTGTCAATATGACGTTCACATGGTTTGCTTGTGCGAGTAAGATAACCCTTTCTCCAGCATGGCAAGAAATCTGATTCTTGTTGATAAGGCTGATGGATTTCTTTCAGCCCGTTTAGTATAATCAGATAAAACAGATAAATTATTTTACTTGACACAGATTCTGGTAATTGGGTTGGATTGCATTTTAATTTCATCACTGTGCTGTTACTTGATGCCATCATAACTAAAAGCTCTCAGTTCTAACCTGATAAATGGACCAAAGTAACGGAGGAAACGCTCATTATTTTCAATTATGTTCAGTTAGTTTGAGCTGAACATAAATGTGAACGTCCCCTCTCCTTCCCTTTAGGTACTAACCTCTGTGGGATCAATAACGGCGGTTGCACTCACCTTTGCTTTGCCAAGACCAACAGTTTTGTATGCGCCTGCCCTGATGAACCAGACGGGCGACCGTGCTCCACAAGTAAGTGTTCTCTGTAATTTATCAGCCTGTACCAGTTAAAAAGTTTTAACTGAACTTTTTAACTGAAAAAGGTAAAAAGTCACAAATAGGTTTTATATAGCAGAAGAACACTAAAATGACAAACCAAGAAATGCCCACTCAGGCCCTTGTTCCTCGTGCTTTGATCAGTTTCAGGTTACATCCCCACCTCTCCTGCCAGAGGGCCCAGCAGCACTCCTGTCCCTAACAAGATCCCTAAAGCTCCCACAGACATCCCACAGAGAGGACCCTCACTGGTCAAGTAAGTCTGTTGTGTTCATTAAATGGTTCACATTCCCAGCTCCAACTGTGTTTGATCTAAATGAAATTGTCCCACTAATGAACACAGTTGTAGACTTGTCGATCTACCATGTTGGCATTTTAACTTTGGAATACAATGGATCTGTTTTGTGTACTTGTTTCTGCCTTACACATTTTTAGAATCCACAGAATCTGAAAGATTTAATGTTAATACACAGTTGTAAATATAGCAAAGTTGTTACAAATCATATGAAGTCCTCTGTGTCGCAGTCTATGGTAAATTAATATTTATTTTCCTCCTTATCGTTACAGCTGCACTGACAAGAACCTAAACATAGAGGGGTGTATGAACACTGTGGTGACAGCTCCTCACGGTCAGTACACCGAGACATTCACAAAGTCTGCCTACAGGGAAAAGAGAAAAGCTAGGCATCACTCTTTCTGCGAGATACAGTACATCCAGGTTGAGTTTACGCTTGAGCTTGGTTCAAAGACTGGCAGCTCACAAAGGCTGCTAGCATAGCTGTGCGACTACCGGTAGTATAAAGTACACCTCTGAACAGGATCTTGACACAGATTATTGTTTAAGGACTCAGAACAGAAATATAAATGTAATGTGTTTGTAGACAAAGACTGTTGTAGCTGTTGGTTACCAGCCAGCTAGCTAATGTTAAAACAGCTCTGAAGCTAGGCTAATAGTTTCTCCCCCTACTCAGAGTTGGACATCAGTAATGTTTGAATGTGGGACTTAAATAATATATCATTCGCATCAACCAAAGACCAGTTATGACTGTGAAGGTGAATAAAAATGTAAGATATAAGAAAACAAAAAACAGCAATAGAAAGCTACTTTTGCTTTAAAGCTATTCAGTGATAAGCGTTGGCTATTTTTACTAAATGAAATTACTTCTCAAGACAAACATCGCAGACATACAGTTATGTCTGAAAGACTTAAAATAATATTCAATAACCATCTCAAGCTCGTTTCTCACTGGGTATTATGGGGTTAGCTGGGTTAATGACTGACCTGCAATGTTTGTGTAAAACTTTGTAGCAAATCAGTTTAAGCAAAGCCTGTTAACCACCCCTGTAATGTGTCCTGTCTGTTGTAGGAGAGGGACTTCATGTCAGCTATGTTATCGGTGGGGTTCTGACCATTCTGGCGATTCTGATCCTCATTGCTGCTTTGATCATTTACAGGTCAGTGTCCTGCACAACATTGCTTAAAAAGAATGTTTAATTACCTACATTTGACACAGAGGATAGGTAAACCTGTAAATTAAATTAAATTGCTCTTATTGTCTTATTTTTGATCAACAGACACAAAAAGTCAAAGTTTGCTGACCCAGGAGTGAGCAATCTGACCTACAGTAACCCCTCGTACCGGACGTCCACACAAGAGGTCAAGATCGAGGCATCTCAGAAGCCTCCAATATACAACCAGCTTCGATATAAGAAAGAGGTAACGAACGGTCCGCAATCTGTGAGAAGTTGAAAAGGACACATAATGGATTTAACATGAATCCATGGTATTTGCATAGGATGATCACAGACTGTATTGTGTCTAAGCACAGAGACAAATCCCTTTACTGTTTGTCTCTGTGAATAGAATGATTGTAACATGTGACACGAGTAGGTCACAGACACCAGCGCTCATCTTCTCCTCCCCTCCTTTCTCTCCCTCACCGCAGCTCTCTCACCCCTACAACTCTCTCTCTCCCTTTATCTTTTGACCCACTTGTCCTGTGGAGAGGTAGTTACACAGCATGAAGGAGTCGTGTAATTCTAAACCGTCTCTTTGTTTTACTTCTGCCTTTCACAGCATGTCGCCTGAAAAATCTTAATGAATAACCTCCTTTTTTGGATGTAGTTTCAGAGCTCTGTGATCAGCAGCATGATGATTTTTATCCCACTGAGTGACTGTGTTGTGAAATTGACACTGAAACTGGCAACAAAGCCAAATGTGTGGGTGGATTTTGTTAAAGGTGCTACATGTATCAATAGTAACATTAAGCACACAGTGTGTCAAGCTGACAGCAGTTGTTCGGCTCATACTGTATTTCCCATAGAGCCTGCTGGTAATTTACAAGTAAAAAGGTTATTTCTTAGTAAAAAAAAAAGTCTAAAACTAGCAGCAGCTTCCAGTATTCATCAATCTTTTTGCTTTGGAAAAGTATGCACCAACTTCCTGTTTTTATTCTGTAAAACAGTCCAGATTTTTGTTTCTTCTAATTACGTACTTGTAGCACCTTATTCTAAAAATGTATGTAGAAATGTGTAAAAAACAAAACAAAAAAAAGCTAACTCCAGGAATAAGCGGAGCTCCTGCAGCATGAGTTTTGTGGGTTTGAACGTGACACTTTGTTCTGGAGTGTTCTCTGACTTATCCCTGAGGTTTGTCCACCTTTTAACAGGCTGAGAGCTTTCTGCCTGATGTTAATACATTTTAATTAAAAAGAAAAAGAGCAAAGCGTTAGCATTAAAGATGAAAGAAAGAAGCATGACTTGACACATCAAAGGTGGATGATCTCTCTGAACTGCCGACACAGAGTCAATCACTAACAGTGTTGTTGTTGTCCAGGGGGGAGTGGACGGAGGCTACACCAAGGAGAAGATCCGCATCGTGGAGGGCGTGTGCCTCCTGTCCAATGATGAGCTTTACTGGGACGACCTGAAACAGATCAAGCCGTCCCGAGGCGGGCTGCACACCTGCATGCGCACAGACACCGTGTCCCTGCAGGCCAGCAGCGCTTCGCTAGACGACGGTGAGACGGAGCAGCTCCTCCAGGAGGAGGCGTCTGAATGCTCGTCCATAACCACCCTGACCCCTTCTGCCATCACCCCGCAGCGTCACGCCCAGCACAGCCTGCCCGACACCGGCTGGGTCTCCGTACGCAAGCCCTCCACCGAGAGCGAAGTGTGAAGGAGGCCCCCCGCCCTCTGTGCTTTATCTCGACCATCATTACCTAATATACACATGCAGTCACCTGTATTTAGAGCTGGTACAAACACACAAAGATGAATAGGTACAGAACACAGTAACAGCTGCATATGTAAACTAATGGTACATATCAACCTGGTTAGACACAACTAAGCTACAAAACACACATGTCCTGTCTTTAAAATTGGGGCTCCGTCCTACTTGTCCACACGTGCAGTATCCTCAGTGCTGCTGCCTCGAGGCAAAAATGGAGCGTGCTGGAATAAGAAAAACAAAGGACTCTGGGGAGGAAGTGAACAGAGAGACACAAGCGTTAACGTGGAACCTTTTTTTTTTTTTTTTTTTTAAGGATACAGACTCTCAGTGCGACGCTTCTCTGTATACGACTTCACCTTTCTTTTTCTTTGTTTTTCATCCTGGACGGAGCTAAAGCAACATACCCCCCGGACGACGTAACCACAGAGTTCCCTCTAATGCCACTCATGTCTTTATGAACTATATTTATGAACATGTTTGTGGGTTTTTTTGTTGTTTTTTTTTAATTTGTAGAGTGGGTTTGCTGACTTTCAGAGAATGATGAGTGCGCTAAGCTAGAAGTTTTATTTTTGTGCAGCAGCACCTGTTTTTTTTCCTTTTTTAATTAATTTTATTTTTCAAGAGTTGTATTTATGACAGTGCCAAAGGGTGGGGCTTCAGAGTCTCCATGCTTCTTTCTCCATTTCACACTTCAAACAGAGATTTATTCTCATTCTGGGATGTTTGTTTCCTCTGACTTGCCCCCCCTCAACCTCACCGGTGTGGGAGACCTCAGTGTTGGCATCTGCTTCTTTACAGCCTCCAAGGGATTAAACTAGAAATGACTGTAGCAGGTTCTCTCAGTTGGCTGCAGGAGGCCCTCCATTTTCTGTTTAAAGTTATACTTCAGTTATCGCTGATCCTCGGGCAGAGCGGAAGTCACCTCGATGAAGTAACAGCCTAAGTGCCAAATGTTGAATTCTTTTTCCCACTTCAGCTGTATATTTATTTCTCCTCAGATGCACATGCACATGGCATTTTCTCACTTATATACTCCACAGATAAAGCTGGTGAGCGATGCAGATACTTGTAAGGTTGTATGAATCCAGGTATTAAACGTATGTCTCAGTTTTTTTCTGTCCAAAAACACCGGGGGTTTCTCTGAAACCACTTTATTTCGTCGGTCTTTCCAAAAGAAAAGAATTTGCTTTCTAAGTAGGTGATTGGTTTTTTTGTGTTTTTATTTTTGTTTTTTTCCCCCATTGCTGATGTGCTTGCGAAACACATTTTTGTAACCAGTATGTGTAATATCCACTCACCTTCTCCACTAATATGAGATTTTTCTTACTCTGCTTGATAACTGATAGCAAGTAACAATAACAGAAATATTAGATGAACAAGTCATGAGTAACAAACGTTTTAGATTTTTAGATCACCACAAATAACAGTGTGAAGCAAGTCTTGCCTCTCAGCAGCCATCTTTGAACATTTATTTTGAAGACTCTATGTAAATGTATCTGGAAAAACCCTCGTCCTTAACTTCTATGTTCATATGGCCATAAAAAGCCATGTGAACAGATTTTTGATGAAGATCTGACTGGAAAAACGTTAGTTAACTTTGTTCTGTTATCTGCTTCTGACTGCTGACACGATCAGCGTGTCTGCTGTTGTTGCTGCTCGTTCAGATTATGAATACAGCAAAATAAAAGATTTTTAACAAGGTATCTTACCCACACCTTATACGCCTGTGGGTTAGTGCACCTTTACCATGTTCATGGGTCAGTGCTTACGAGATGATTGGCTAAGTCTGGCTCTTTGGGGGCAGACGCAGCACTGCTGCCATCTTTAGCATTTCAAAATTAGCCCATAGATTTGTGGCCAGTGTTATATAACGTTTCTAGTTTGAATTAAGTGTTTTTACTTCCTCAAAGTTCCACTTTTCACTTTCTATTAGCAACCAAGCTTCAGAGGCAAAGATATATTTAAAAAAAAAAATTAAAAAATCTTGGCACATACAACCAAAATCTTGGCACATACAACCAGAAGTATCTGCTCGGCCAGAAACACTTGGAAGTAAATGAGAAAATTTGTGCTTTTGGTCGTTTGAGTTTAACTCCATCATATCGGATTCTGTGAGGTGCGCTCACAGTGTCTGCCACAGCACAGTGCAACAAAAGGGGTAACTTTGTGCACGCTGTGTGTTGAAAAATTTATCAGACAGCTTACTGAGAAGTGAATTTAATGGCTATCTCGCATTGCTTTATTTTTAGCGCCCCATTCTGCCTGTCGATTGTGGTGCAAATGAAAATACTATATTGCTATATGGACAAATATATCTTTGACACATTATAGAATCGTGTATTTTGAAGTATCTGCTACAAGCTCAGCAACATGCTGATCTGCTGCTAGACGAAGCACTGAGGCCAATGAGAGAGGGGCTTGGCAGCTACATGACTACAGTCTCTGATGGTTGGTCGAAGGCAGGCCTACAGAGCATCATAGCGACCCAGGATCCAGTAATCCACACTCACAGTCCCTCCAACTCTGCTGCAGGAATGCTAAAACTGTACAGATTTTATCACGCGGATGTAAGCAAACATTTTTGTTGATACTGGGCTGAGTTGTATAGTCTTTTGTACAAAGGGATTTCATGACCGTTTTTAGACTTGTATTAATTTTACTCACTGGAAAAGAACAATGTTTTTGGTTTTTTTTGTTTTTTGTTTTGTTTTTGCTGGATTATTTTAACCACTGTGTTCCCAAGCCTTGTAAATGATAGGGAAGATGCCAGTTATTTAATAGTGCTCTTTTATCTTATGAAATACTGGTCACGTATAGCTGTTGTAAAGTTAACAAAAAGAGATATTTATGATTTTCGTTTTCGTTGTCACTTGATGTGTAAATATGAAAAGACTGTATATGTATGGCAGTACTAACAAGCTGTGTTGTGTGATATAGTGAATTATCCCTTTGCTATCTTTTAATATAAAATTGCATTTGCATTTCAATGAAACCTTCGTCTCACTCGTCTGTGTGCTCGTTGCTTTTAGACAAACGTGTTTCCTCGTCTGACATGTAGCAATGAAAGGGGATGCTAAAATCTTCAGGTGCTAATTCAGATATTGTTGTTACAATAGGAGGGGAGATTTAATCATGTGGTTTGGGGGGATCTTGTCAAAACAGATTTGTGAGGAGAAGTTGGGTCAGAATTTGATCTGCCATGAGTCTGATTGGCAGCAGCTTCACATTTCAGTATGACAATGATTCCAAACACACTGCCAATGCAGTAAAAGCATAATTGATAATACATACAGTGGACTGGTAAATAGTGTTTTTTCTAATCTAATTGAGCACAAATGCTTTCAAAGCATGCAGGATCATGTTGACAGAGAGTGGAACAAGGTACAGCCAACATATAACGAAAAGGTTTTAAAGTCCTTCAAGAAGCCAGGCGATCCTAAAGAAATGAGAAGTAAGCTTGCCTAAGAGAGTTCAGGCTGTGATGAAGCAAAGGTGGACATACTGGCTTTCAAACTGGTTAGAATTGTTTCACCTCTGGTTTCCCTATGGAAACCCTATGTTCAAACCCAGGACTTTCTCACGGTGAGGCAACAGTTCTAACTGTTATTTATATAATTCATTGGGCATTTTTGTAACAAAATATAAATAAATAGCAGTCATCTTATACAACACCATCATCCTTTCAAGCCTATAATTTTATCAGGAATCAGTATGGTGGATAGATCTTCACCCATTCTTGATCTTTCATTACATTAGTATTCAGTATAAAAGATGCAGGATGTATAAATGTTACAAATTACAACCAATGTGCAGTATCACTGAGGATCAATGGCGTTTTTGCACTTGTTTTGCAGAGGAGCATGCAGCAAACTCATATGTGTAACCATTCAGTAAACATTTATGTAGAAGACACACGCACAAAACTTTAGCGCCATTTAGTGCTCAGGTTTTTCTTGCACTGTTGTTCATCGACGTTGTCTGGGCTTCTTCTTCTTTTTAGTTTAATAGTGGTTGGTAAATCAGCTTAGTGGTGCATTACCGCCACCTGCTGCACTGGAGTGTGGCTCCTCCAATAAATGCCCACACCTTTTCCGGCTTTTAGGCCAATCAGCGACGCGCCCTGCGTGAACACGGGGTTTGAAATATGCAGAGACTCGGCTAAGCTAGACGAGAAAGAGAGTTCATCTGATTTTGTAAGTTTTATTCGGGTGTTTTTGTGACATTTTTT